TCCTCTTCCTCTTTATCTATTTTTTCTCTTTTCCTATCACTTTTTCTCTCTTCCTCTCTTTCTTTTTCTCTATTTTTCTCTCTCTTTCTTTCTCGCATGGGTGAGTGTACATGTACAGGTAGTTCTCGCTTTACAATTATTCATTTAGTGACCGATCAAAGTTGCAACACTGAAAAAAGTGACTTATGACCATTTTCACACTTACGATTGTTGCTGCATCCTCATGGTCCATTGATCAAAATTCAGAGGCTTGGCAACCGACTCATATTTATGACGGTTTCCGTGTCCTGGGGAATCATGTGATGCCCTTTGGCGATCTTCTGACAAGCCAAGTCAGTGGGGAAGCCAGATTCAACTTAACAACTGCAGCGATTCACTTAACAACGGTGGCGAAAAAGGTTGTAAAACGGGGCAAAATGAACTTAACAAAAAAATTTTTGCTTAGCAACAGCGATTCTGGGCTCAATTTTGGTTCGTAAGTCAAGGACTAACTATGCTGGATGCCAAGTATCACAAATTATGATCACATGACTATGGGTATAATTGTAAGTGTGAGGACCGGTTATAAGTCACTTTTTTTATTGGCCTTGTAACTTTAATTGGTCCCTACATGAACGATTGTAAGTTGAGGACTATCTGTATGAGCTATTACAGCAATATTTTATGAAAATAATTCCAAAAAATAACGTGAAAGAGCACCATTTACGATCTTTCATGTATGGCATGGAAAATTTTGCTGTGGGTGAAAAATGGATGCAAAGCTTCCTTCATTTTCTCTGCTAACTTTTGTTTCTAATAAAGGAGAAAATGCAGCTGTGCAGAACTCCAGGTTTAAAGTTTTAAAAAAGTATATTTCCGTGCAGATGCCGAACAGCTGTCTGTAACTCCTACACCAAATGTCACCTTTCTTCGGATTATGCTAAATTTTCAGCAGGCAACGATATAATTTTAGGGGGGGAAAACACTGCTGCTTTAAGAAATAGAAATCTTGAAAAATGTTGCCTTCCTGATGTGGGTTGCTCAACCCGACTTTCAAAGGAGAACAAAGAGGGAATCGGTGGTTTCCTGAACTGATTTTATATTTTTCCTTTTGTAAAGCTTTTGGTTAAATTTGTGATCACATGCCCTTTAACCAAGAGATCTGGGAGGGGTGGCGGAATTTCCCCACCCTTAGAGGCCTCTATGAGGTGCAATCAGCCAGCTGTTTGCGGAACAGAAAAATAAGAGGAAATTAAAGTTGTACTTTGGCATCCTGCAGCTTTAAGAGAAATGGAAATAATTTTTGAACTTGTCTTGTGCCTGAAACTTACTATTTAGTCAGCAAGAATTTCAGTCATGTGAATGTGGGTTTTTTTTCTGTTAAGGAAATGTAAGCAGATTTATGTGCTTACGTGTGTGTGTGTGTGTGTGTGTGTGTGTGTGTGTGTGTGTGAAAATATTTTGCAAATGTTAGGGATTTATGGTCAATTTAGACTTTATCCCAAAGCTTTAGTTTTGTTCAATTACTGCTATTCTCTCGCTCCCTCCCTCCTTTTCTCTCTCTCTCCAACTCTTTCTCTTTCTTTCTTTCTCTCTTTTTCTCTCTCTTCCTCTCACTTCCTCTCTTTTTTCTCTTTCTCTTTTTTCTTTTTCTATTTTATCTTTCTCATTCTTTCTTTTTTCTCTTCCTCTCTCTTTCTCTTTATCTGTCTTTCTCTTTCTATCACTCTCTTCTCTTTCTCTTTATTTTTATCTCTTTCTATCACTCTTTTTCTCTCTTCCTCTCTTCTCTTTTTCTCTATCTTTCTTTGTATCACTCTTTTTCCCTCTTCCTCTTTTTCTTTATCTATTTTTCTCTCTTTCTATCACTCTCTCTTTTTTCTCTCTTCCCCTCTCTCTTTCTTTCTCTTTATCTATTTTTCTCTCTATCACTCTTTCTTCTCTTTTCCTCTCTCTTTATTTTTCTCTCTATCATTCTTTCTCTTTTCTCTGTCTTTCTCTTTATTTTTCTCTCTTTCTATCACTCTTTCTCCCTTTTTTTCATCTGTCTTTCTCTTTATCTATTTTTCTCTCTTTCTCTCTCTCATGGTTGAGTGTACATGTACAGGTAGTCCTCGCCTTACAACTATTCATTTAGTGACCATTCAAAGTTACAACAGCACTGAAAAAAGTGACTTATAACTTTTTTTTCAAGCTTACAACTGATGCAGCATCCCCATGATCAGGTGATCAAAATTTGGAAGCTTGGCAACGGGTTCATATTTATGACGGTCGCAGTGTCCCGTGGTCATGTGATCCCCTTTTACGACCTTCTGACAAGCAAAGTCAACGGAAAAACCCGATTCACGTAAAAACCGTGTTACTAACTTAACAAGTGCAGTGATTCACTTAACAGTTGTGGCAAGAAAGTTTTCAGAATGAAGCAAAACCCACTTAACAACTGTCTCACTTAGCAATGGAAATTTTTTGGGTCATTTGTGGTCGTAAGTCAAGGACTACCTATATATGTGTGTGTGTGGAAAGTGGTTGGTTCCAAGGTTACCTGTCTTTTGTAATCTAATGTTGTAAAATTAAATAATTCTCTTTTTTTGTTGTTGTTGCAAATGTTGTAATGTTGTAAAATGAAACAATTCGTTAAGGGTTCTCATTTTAACACCTTCTATTGTTGCACACCTAAATGGGGCAATAATTTTGGGAAACACTCTTGCTTAATTTCTGTATTTCAATTTTTAAGGCCCAGTATTGGTCAACCAGAAATACTGTACTTTTTGGAGTATAAGACGCACCTCCCCCCCCCCCAAAGAGAGTAAAAATCTGGGTAAAATCTTATACACTGAATACAGCTATGCATGCCCTTTTATGGGCAAAAAATGGGCTCGTTTTCATGAAAAACGGGCATTTTTAACTCATTTTTGCCCCCCCCCAGCCCCTAGGAGCACTTTGCAGGCTTCTCAAATAACCTGCATGCCCAAAAAATGAGGTGTGCAGATGTTTTGGGAGGTTAGGGTTAGAGTGCAAAAACTTTTTTTTAAATGATCTCTTCAAAATCTTGGTGCGTCTTATACTCCCCAAAATATGGTAGTTATTATTATTGCTGTTTATAGACCATCGGCCAGATATTAAGACATTTGCTTCAGGTGGCTCTGCTCACTGTCAGTCATTCCCTGGGCACCTCCCAATTGAACCAGTAGTGGAAATTGCGGGGGGAGGGGGGGCACCCACCTGCCCAAACTCTATGCCATCCTATTTAGGTATGTTTTCAAGTCGTGTGCATGCATGCAAGCCACACACTCAATCAAAGCGCATGCACGGAAGGCCGAGTGCATGCGTGGATGGGACACGTGCACTCACATTTGTGAACCGGTAGGGAAAGTAAGTGACTATCACCCCTTGTGGGGCTGCCCTTGAAGACTATCCCAAAAACTTCTGCTGGGGCTGAATGCAGCTGCACAGGCAGTTATATATGCTCCTAGACTGGCAGACTTTCCATCTCTGCTCCATAAGCTGCATTGGTTGTCAGGTTGCTTCCAGGCCCAATTCAAGGTGCTGGTCATAATCTTCAAATCCTTTCATGGCGAGGGGCCAATTATTTTTGAAGGACTGTCCCTCTTTGTTAAAGGTAAAGGTTTCCCTCGCACATAAGTGCTGCTCGTTCCCGACTCTAGGAGGCAGTGCTCATCTCCCTTTCAAAGCCGAAGAGCCAGCGCTCTCCAAAGACGTCTCCGTGGTCATGTGGCCGGCATGACTGAACGCCAAAGGCGCACAGAACGCCGTTCCCTTCCCACCAAAGGTGGTCCCTATTTTTCTACTTGCATTTTTTACGTGCTTATGAACTGCTAGGTTGGCAGAAGCTGGGACAAGTCACGGGAGCTCACTTCGTTACGCGGCACTAGGCATTCGAACCGCCGAACTGCCGACCTTTTTGATCAACAAGCCCAGCGTCTTAGCCACTGAGCCAACGCATCCCTCTCTGATTACCTCTGCCCATTCCCATGGATCTGCCAGAGAAGGCATGTTGTAGTTACCTCCATTAGGCATTTATAGTACGTTTGATGAGCCCCAGATGCCTCCTCTGCTGTGGCACCCCACCTCAGGGGATTTCCTCCCCCCCAAAAGTGAGATTATTAGAATTTTAAATTGGAGTATCAGGGTGGATTTGATTTAAACCAAGGCGATTTAAATCCCTAGTAAAAAAGCTTGATTGGAATCGATTGAAATCATAATTTTTAAGGAGCAACCGTCATCTCTGTCCCGCAGCAGCTCCTCCTCTAACCCGCTGTTGACTCAACGACAGTCCCGATACTGCAAAATATACAGCCTCCTCATGCTACCTAACTAAGCTCCATTTCACGCTGACTAAACTGAATTATGAAGGTATCTTAAATAGAAAACTATCTTTAGGTAGGTTTTCAATCCCAAAAGCATTTTATTAAAAGGAATCAAGAAAACAATCTGGGTATAGTTCCTTGAGCCCAATGGAAGAGAGTATCAGTGGCTCCAGATTGAGCCGTGGAGTTGTTGGTGTGCTTGCTTTGAGAAATTTATTTATTCTATTTATTAAATTTAGGGACTGCCCATTTCTCTCGCAGAGCGAATTTTATTGCCCCGTGCTCATTTGCAGTGATGATCCCAAAGGTACTTTTCAAGTAGCAATAGCAGTTAGACTTATATACCGCTTCATAGGGCTTTCAGCCCTCTCTAAGCGGTTTACAGAGTCAGCATATTGCCCCCAACAACCCGGGTCCTCATTTTACCCACCTGGGAAGGATGGAAGGCTGAGTCAACCCTGAGCCGGTGAGATTTGAACAGCCGAACTGCAGAACTGCAGTCAGCTGAACTAGCCTGCAGTGCTACATTTAACCACTGCACTACCTCGCCGAAAAGTATTCAGGTATTTGGATTTTTAGAGAGTCGTTGAGGCCACTTGGAGGTTTGTCTGTGTTCTCGAGGTCACCTGAGTAGTGCAAATGGGTGTGGAGCCTTTTTCCCACATCGATCTGCACTACTCAGGCGACCCTAAGGACACAGACACACCTCCAAGTGGCCTCAATGACTCTCCCAAAGTATGCAAATGACCAGCTGTCTGCAAGGAGTGTAGAGCCTCCCATTTCCCACCATCCAATCAGAGTTGAAGAAGCTTCTTGGATGAGAAGCGAAACATCTTCAAAGAAAAACCAAGGAAGTCCAGTTGCCTCTTTAAAAAAGCACCTTTGGAACAACTATGACCGAAAATCTCCATAGACATTTTGCATTGATGATGTTATCTAGTTGGGTATTGAAATGTCAGCAAGCGAACAGTTACGTTTGGAGAATACCAAGAACTGCATAAAATGTTAAGCATTTCTGTTCAACTAGGAGATTTTATCTTTTTCTTTTAAATGGCTTTGTTTAAAAATAAAGAACCGAAAATGTTAGTAGCATAATCTTTTTTTTAAATCTCCTTTATAGATTGTAGACATTGTTTAAAATAACATGGCAATATTAACATCTAAAGGCATCATCAAAAAGAAATATGATCAAAGCAAAAGGAAGTAAAATGAATAAAAGAAACATTTGGTATAAGGTCAAACTGAAAAGATGGTAATGTTCAGAACATAAAACTAGCCAAGCTATACAATGAAAGATAAACTCAAAATGGCACCTAAAACATAACTAAAAGATTCGAATATTTTTCTATTTAAAACAGAACACAGTAAAACAGATCATAAAAAGATAATAAACATAAAAATGATACATAAAATTATTATATTAAATATTTGACCAGAGTATTTTATAGTGCTGAAGAATCTTGTTCTTATTTTTGTCAATAACATTCATAAAAAGTACCACATATCGTAAATGTTTTGTGTCTACCATATTAACATATTTTATGTGTTCATTTTTCTATAGATACTATATACCGTAATTGGTTTAACTGTATGTCGGGTTAAGGGATAGAATCCAATTTCTGTCAAAGAGTTATTACCAATCTAACTACTATCGGCAGAGCAATTAATATATATTTTCATGTGGTTCTTAAGCTGGGTCTCAAATAGATTGACAATAGAACTCAAGGGGTTTTTAAATATTAAAAAACAAATTATACCCAAAAATATTATAGCAATAGCAATAGCAGACTTATATACCGCTTCATAGGGCTTTCAGCCCTCTCTAAGCGGTTTACAGAGTCAGCATATTGCCCCCAACAACAATCCGGGTTCTCATTTTACCCACCTCGGAAGGATGGAAGGCTGAGTCAACCCTGAGCCGGTGAGATTTGAACCGCCAAACTGCAGTCAGCTGAAGTAGCCTGCAGTGCTGCATTTAACCACTGTGCCACCTCGGCTCTTATTCAAAATTGGAAAGCAGGATTTATATGCTTGCATATTTATTCAAACATTTAAAGCTTGCTTTTTTACCAATTAATCTCAGGTCTGAATTCAGTCAGCTAAAAATAAGGCCAGATAAAAACAGTTTTTTTAAAAAAATAAATATTTATTGCATATTAAGGAATAGGCAATTAACACTGTTACTGCTATGTCAGCTCTTCATCTTCAGTTACTGAAAACTCTTCGCTGTTTCGTTTTTTAGGTCCTGTGGAGAAAAAAATAACTGTACATCTTCAGAAACTTGACGTAGCTGAGGACGATCGTGGGAATTACGGCTTTTTCACCATAATTTACAACCAGGGCTTCGAGGTTGTCTTGAATAGCTACAAGTGGTTTGCATTTTTTAAGGTAAATGAGGAGTCCCCTTCCAGAAACTTGCATGCCTATTTATCCCAGAATGTATTGGCATTAAAATGTGGCACCAAAACTAAAATCTTGCTGAGCACAGTTGGTAAAAAAATGTTTTTCCCCCTGGCTGTGTAACACAACCGATAGCTACATCTCCCCTTTGAAGAGCAAGCAAGAAGCAATCGATACTTAACCCTTGTAAAATATAGAATTGTATAAATAATTGAGGAAAGCAATCGAGCACAACGTGTGGCCATTTGCTGTTTAAAGTATTTCCGGGCAAATTTCCTTGGTCAGTAATGAGCATAGCAAAGTACATGGGGAGAAATGCCTTCTATGCTATAGGTTTAGAATTTTCTTTGCTTAAAATCCAGAACTGTTCTGTGCTTCACCATATCAAATTGCATAAGTTTTATTGTATTGGCAAAACTGCCTCTTCTTGGGGTTGGAGGGAGCCTGAAGTAGTGAAGCACATGTGTTAGCATGTGTGTTGCAAGGCTCTGTGGTGGCACAGTGGTTAAAATGCAATTCTGCAGGCTAACTCTGCCCACAGCCTGGAGTTCGACTCCTGACGAGGCTCAAGGTTGACTCAGCCTTCCATCCTTCCGAGGTCGGTAAAACGAGGACCCAAATTGATGGGGGGGAAATATGATGACATTATAAAGCACTCAAAGTGTGCTGTGAAGCGGTATATACCAATAGCACTTAAGACTTATATACCGTTTCACAGTGCTTTACAACCCTCTCTAAGAGTCAGCATACTTCCCCCCACAACAATTCGAGTCCTCGTTTTACCGAACTCGGAAGGATAGAAGGCTGAGTCAACCTTGAGCCGGTCAGGATCGAACTGCTGGCATTTGGCAGAAGTAGGCTGCAGTACTGCATTCTAACCAGTGCACCATCACACCAATTCAATGAGAAACTGTGCCATCTTTGTTCAGAAGTAATGGTTAGAGCAGAGATGTCTCCAAAGCTAGGGCTATGATTCCATGGTTGTGGCTGCCATCTTGACTTTTTTGACCTTCAAGACACCTTGGGTGTCTTTGCTTGATTCACCAGCACAAACAACAAACAACAAAGATGACTGAGGATCTGAAGGCTAAATCATATGACGAATGGTTGAGGGATGGCTAAGTGTAATCTAGCCAATAAAACAATAGGATAAGGGGGGAACCTGATAGCGTTCTTCCAATACTTGAGGGACTGTTACAGAGAAGAGGGGATTGACTTATTCTCTGAAGCACCTGTTCTGACCGAGGCTTCCCAAGAGCATGAAGCAAACTCCTGGTCCCAACAAAAATCCCTTCTATTAATTGAATTTTGCTCATTCACATCCAGCAAAGTCTTTCAAGGGAGGATTTACCATCACAGACCTTATCTGACTTGGAGACCTGCCAGGCCCATATCTGCAAAACCTGGCAAGGAATCTCGGGAGAGTCAGGAACCAATTAAGCAAACTCATTGTCTCCTGCAAACTCCACTCCCCTTTCGCTCCTCTTTTATTTCCTCTGG